TTGATGTTGTGTTGTGTTGCTGCTATTATTGCTGAGGCCGTTGTGTCATGAATATGTTTGATTTTGTAATTGTGGTTTTTATACAATAGTGTCTCTTAGAGAGAGAAATTATTCTCTGTTTCCAGCCCAGGGACTACAGATGAAAGTTAGCCTATAGCTAACTCTGGTGCAGCTAAGTAGCTGTGCACTGTCCATGTGAAATAAATAAATAAATAACTAAAATAAAGTACAGTAAATAAACATCCTACGAAAAATGCATGCACAACAGTTCATTTAATATCCAATGAATTACCACCTCATGAAAGACATTACATCATTAGTCTCTATATACAGACTTTACATTCAGTGAATGTAGAGTCTGTAGGCAAACCCCGGAGATCTTGCCTCTGGAAGAAGAGCGGAAGAGCCCTGGTGTCCGGTTGTAGGCTGATTGTAGTCCGCATGATATTGACCGATCACGTTTGAGCCGGCTGCAGTTGTTGCCAGGTTAAACAGCCCGTGCGGTGAACTAACGAGGCGGAACATAATTGGCGTCACTGCAAACTCTGAATCCATCGCAATGGTTTAGCATATTTACTTATATATAAATGGAAGTCGGAAACAGAAATTCGCCTCCTCCGCCCAAATCAAACCGGAATGCCAAAAAAAGCTGAAGGCTGTATCACCGTCTGCCGGAAGTCAGACGCCGAATACAGCCGATGGGTTCCGAGAATGTTACATCATTAACATACAGTTACGTAATTAACACAAATTTATGAAGGTTAGCTTTAGGCAGTTAACGTTATAGATAGGTTTAGGAAAAGAAACATGGTTTAGGTGTAAGTAAGTTAAGTTACTGAGGTTAGGTTTAGGAAAAGAAACATGGCGAGGATGTACCTTAAAATGACTCAAAGTTCACAAGCTTCCAAACTGAAAGTTTGTTTTTTTTTGGACCCATCCACCACCCCAACCTGCCTACTTTCAAGACCACTTGGGACTGCTTCTTGTTAACTGCCGTCAGCGCATTGGTCTCATGATTTGCTGCCTTTCAAAACATGTGGGATATGTACAAATTTAGGTGCATTACTTTTCAATGGAAAACATACGAACAGTTTGTGAGAACAGCCTTAATTTATACAATGTCAATCGCATGTGTGTCTGGCATATTGAAATCACAGCCATAGCTACCAGTCTGGCTCATTATATTTCACAAACTGCTTGATCCAAGTACTGAAAGGCTCTGATCATCTTAAATCATTAATATGATATGAACTTAAACTGGGAGAGTTTAGTTAGAGAAGATATATCACTCTGTTGGAGGTGCTGGAACTATAAAAGCACTCTGATTGTGCAGTGGTGTCACAGAGTGGACGTTCTTTCCTCACGAACAATCAGAGCATGAAAACAGATACACACACCCAACTTGTCATCAAGTTACTCATGGATTAAACGTTAATTAGCAACAGCTGATATGACGGAGGAGGTATAGCTGTAGCTCGAGCGGCTACGTGACTCACCCACCATACCTACATGTCAGTCCACAATCAGCCCCCTCACCCCTTGGCTTGGACGTGAAAGCCCTTACAAAAATGCTACGTTAGCGATTAGCTAGCTGTGGAGTGTTAGGCTAAAAGAGAGTCGGTTAAGGGTAAGGATAAGGGTTACATCTAGTTATTTTTAAGGTGAATCACGTCTTCATGTAAAATTAATTATAAAGTGGATTATTGCTGTGTTTGGCCTCAGATTTATTCACTACAATGACGTGTTGCCACAGTTTGTGACGTGATGACTGAACCTACGTGACCTCACTCGAATAGACAGACAGTGATCTCTGTGGCTCAGAGTTCTTCAGCTGTTGATCATAGGGTTGGTGGTTTGATCCCTGACTCCTCCTCTTTACGTATTGAAGTATCCTTGTGTAAGAAACTGAGCCCTGTGGTGGGACTGATCAGTCAGTTGATTGATCGATTAGTCTGTCAGATTGTACAAGCCATTATTAACAGTACCAAATGTCTGAACCTCTAAAGTTGGTTTGCCTCTTTTCTTTTTCTCATGAATGAGTTTTTGTCAGACAAAATAATCTCCTTGAAAGCATCAGTCTGTGCTGGGACCTTGTGAAAAGCACTATAGGCTAAATGATGAATGAATTTTCTAAAAAAAGATCCTCGATAAATGAACTTAAAATGAAACTAATCATCTCTCATGCCGTTACAAGAGCTGTTCAGACTGTTTGTAACTTCAACAAAGATGAATGTCCAGCCTCGCGGCTTCCTCTCGAGACTCAAACGTCCAGACTAAATACACAGTACATCATCCGCCCACCCCGGCATCTCATGTCATGACATCACAGACTTCCACTGTAAAGCCGACCTTGTGGGAAATGGATTCCTCAAAGTCCCTCTGCGCTATTCATGTAGTAAAACCAAGCAAGGTCAAAGCTGAGAATGTGTGGAGTGTGTTTGTGTCATCGTGCCAACTGCGCCCGCTTTGCCAGGACATGCTGGCAGACATCAAGGACACACACACACACACACACACACACAACAAAGACAAAACACTTATAGCCTTTGGTCTTGTTTTAATTGCTGGTCATACGAGCTCTTTGTAAATCCCATTGATCTGCTGCTCTCTTTTTGGAAACAAAGGCAGTTGATGGACCTTTATATGATTTCTCGCTCTCCCCGCCTCGTCTTCTCTCTTGTTTTATCCCGACTTTGAAGCTTGTGGTTTTTTTGGGGGGGAGAATGATAATAAAAAGTGTCTGTATCAGTGTCCTCCTATATTTAGGAATCAAAGCGTCTCACCTGTCCTGGAGTTCAAACCCAATCTCTTAATGGTGTGTGTGTGTAGTTTAAACCAGTTGCTCTCATTTGTATTCCCATATATTTGTTTGGATGGAGGGGAGAAGAGTATCCACTGGGGGGACCAAACCCCCAGATATCCTCTGAGTGCTTCACTCTGGCAGCATCATTAATAATTCAGGGAGTCTGCAGCTGGCCAGCGTCCATCTGCACTTTGAACAGTTTGTCATGTGAAGAGTTCAGCAGGGTTTGTGTGTCTTAGCGTACACGTGTGTGTGGTTTTTTTTTTGTTTTTTTTTCATGTATAGAAACGCTTGTGGCCAAAGTCCAGACCCAACCCCAACTGTAACACATTAACAGGTTATTTGTGGTGTAAGCAGAGGGAGTGGGCTGATGGGTTAATGTTAGATCAGAGCTGTTATAAGATTGCCATTCATCATGATATGATTGTTTGTGGTGATGGAGGGGCTCGGCCAGGGGTGTATGCTGGACTGTACATACCTGGCCTGAATCATATCAGCTTCAAGAGTCCTGTAACGTGTGGCTACAACTAAAAGCTGTGATAAGAAACAGCTCTTTGTTACATGAGCTGATGTAAGAGCATGAACTTTTTAAGCATGAGTGTCATGTTGTATTAGAGCTGGGCTAGATCCCTTAAAAAAAAAAAGTATCATTAAAATCTCTGGCAGTTTGAGCGTATGTCACAGTCACACAGTTTATTTTTCATGACTGGGCGTAGTGGCTTATTCTACTGACTAAGAATTTTCCTAGTCGACCAGTAGTCATCATTTAGGGCCATATGTCGACTAGTCGGCTGCATATTTACGATATTAATTTAATTATTAAATGATATATTTTGGTGGTTTGAGTTGAAGGTGTGAGAAAGAATAGTATCAGTAACATTGTTAACACTGTGCTACATTACAGAGAAATACAAAACCGTACTAATGAACCTTCATTAATATAGGCCTATATTTTATCTACAAGTGCACGTCACACACTGAGCGAGCCGCCTGTTAATGACGCTGTGGGATAATGGGCATGTAGCTACTTCCATGTTTCAGATTATACGTCATGTTTGTAGTCGACCAATGAAGATGAGTTTACATATCACCTTGGGTTCATCCTTCACCTTCTCAAAATGATCCCACACTTTGGATTTCCTGCCCGACATGTTATTAACTAGCCTGTGGAATAACCGCAGGTACCAGCCCTGGAAAACACGAGGTCGGGCGCTGGGTGCTGCTGCCTTTTTTGTGCCAGCATTCAGGTTGCATCTAAGATAGCTAAGCAACCTTAACAAGCATCATATAGCCTGTTGACCTGAAATCCTCAGTGCGGAGCTGATCTTCTTCCAAGAGCTGTTTATAAGTGTGTAGGCCTATCGTCTGTGGGACAGATGTAAAGCTCTGAGTAGCCCTGCACTAGCATGATCGACTTTTCCGTGTTTATCAGACTGAATATTTACTGAAGAAGGGAAAGATATCTGTCAGCTGTGATTGGTTTGTAACCTGACTCCTGTCTGACTGCTGAGCGTGGCCTCTTGCTGTGTCTGTCCTTTCACTGGACATGGTCCAGTCATACAGGTTTTGCCACCAGTGAAAAGTTACCAATGAAATCTTGCCGACTAATGACCTTTCTGGTCGACTATTAGGGGGCAGCCCTAGTCATGAGTACATAAAATATAAAAAGATTTCAGTTTCATCATAGATATATTAAAGTGTTTGATTATAGGGTTGCTTGGCCCCACAAAATTATACAATATATGGAGGAATCAGCATGGAACTTATGCAGAATGTAAAAAAATGTATTGTATAAAATGCAGTGTAATGAAAATAAATATACATGCCAACAACTTTAACATTTCTTCCTTTTCAAATCAAAGTATTTTTAAGATTGTTGTATAAATACAGTAACTAGAGCCTTCAGTATATCCATGATGACATTAAAATGTTCTTTAATTTTATGTACCCCTGACAGCAGAATAAATCACTTTACTCAAAGTATTCAATACAGCATCTCTCTATCAGTTTAATAAAAAGAGAGGCAAAGATTTCTAAATTACCTGGTATACTGTAATACCGCCCAGGCCGAAAGTTAATCATCTGCTCATTGAATTGCTTAAAATCTATATGCTGTCATATTGTCATCGTGTTTTTATTGAGGCATTACTTGCACATCACATCGAGCTCACGAATGAATGTCTTTCTTCTGCTTTAGGAAAATCCCACCTGGCCATCGTCCAGAAGGTGAACAACGAGGGGGAGGGAGATCCCTTCTACGAGGTGTTGGGGTTGGTCACCCTTGAAGACGTCATCGAGGAGATCATTAAATCAGAGATTCTGGATGAATCGGATCTTTACAGTGAGTTTATCGCGTCTTATTGTCACACTTGTTTTTATTGTATGTGCAGATGAGGCTATTTTGATCTCAGTTTAAGTCATGCAATAATTTATTACAGTTTTCATATCTGAATTATTGTTGTTTGTCTTTGAGATAAGCGTAAACAGACTATTTTTTAGGTATTTAGACGATTAAACACTAATTAACAGAACAGCTAAGAAAATCCTGAACAGCTTGGTCTCACTCTGCTTTTGATCCTAAATAAATGTATCTGCTGTTTGTCACTTCTCAGCTGATAACCGCACCAGGAAAAAGGTGGCGCCCAATAAGAACAAGAGAGACTTCTCTGCCTTCAAACACGAGAGCGAATCAAAAGTGAAGGTCTCTCCTCAGCTGCTGCTGGCCGCCCATCGCTTCCTGGCTACAGGTGGGGGATGGACTGCTGCAAGCAGGCACACACACACAGGCGTGCACACTCACTCAACACAGTGTTACAGCCAGTAGATTATTTATAACTTGTAAACTAAGTGTGCAGTTTAACATAGGTGTTCAAAATGTAGCCACAACATGAATATCCTCAGGATGTCAGGACGGGATGGACTCTGTCTTCTCGCCATCTGACAACCAGAGCAAGTCCATACATGCAGGGAGGAGGTTTAAATGTGTTTATTTACTCGGAAGGTCTATTTAAGATCCGCACAGTACGCCTGCCTGAGTACTCTGGACCTCTGCCAGCTGGTGTGATGCCTCGCCATTGCTACAAATCACTTGAGAACGTGTCGCAATCTGTCTGCTTAGCAAACGTTAGTGGATATGCTCTGCCAGCAGCAGTTAGCACTAGCCACTGCTAGCATGACGTAGCACTTCCTCATCTCTCACAGACACTGTGGTGGAGGAGCACGCCAGAGTCTAATACCTCTGCAGGCATAACGTCAGTGTCTGTTGACTGTGTTTCTGTTTTCTTTTTCAGCGTGAAGGTTTCAATTTTCTTTCCTGATTCAGTACACAGGGATGGGATCTTTAATTTCTCGTATTTCAGTCCAGGAAGTTTCTTTTCCTTTTTCTGTTGTTGTTCGCATCAATCATTATTATACCCTGCTCTTTTTAGATTGTGCCTGATCTCTGTTGCCATTGATATCTAATACAAGATGAGAGATATATTCCACACAGGTAAAGTCAGTGACTTAAAAGGACTTGTGTGTTTTGCAGCAGCAAGCTCTGTCAGTCTGTATATGTTTTTTGGCGCTATAAAAAAAAAGCAGGAAACAAACCAGGAAGATATAAAACCCACAGGCCATGAAAGTGACATAAAAGTCATTGAAAAGTCTATTCAACCTGAGTCAGAAACTTCAATCCTTCTTCTTCTTCTGTTTTTTTGAGTGAAACGAGTGAACTTGTTGACTTAATACGTAAGCCAGAATGAAAGGAGTTTGTTTGCTTTTTCACATGATGAATTCCAACCTTGGTCATATACGCCTCACCTCTCACTGTGTGTCGCATAGGGTTTTGTTTGCAGGGTGGACTGTTTCTTTGTTCTCAGTTTGGGTGGGGTCGAAGGCACTTATGGTGGAGCTGTGATTGCAACAGCCCGGCCTGTGACAGTTGAGAAATTCATGTTAACCAAATACATGTCACCAGATATTTTTAAAACAAGGAAAATTCTCATTAATCAACATCACTGTACATGTGCTTGTGTTAGCTAGAAGACTAGTGTCACCACTTGGACTGCAGAAAGATGATGTATCCAAAACTCAGTCTTAAATTATCTTAAAAAGGTCTTTAAAGGCATTAAATTTAAGGGTAAACATGTACACTGTAAACTGTGGAACAGTGTCTGAAGACTGATTTACATTACGGCTTTATTTTAATTACTGATCATCATCTATGAATCGTTTTGTCTTACATGCAAAGACTGAATGTATTGGAAGCTCTAATTTGTTTTATTAATATATATAACGTCCTTCTGTGTCGTGTAAACAATGAGATGCTTAATGTAGTTTTTGACTTGATTACATGACACGTGATCCTTGTAATTCTTTTAATTCTATTTGTGAAAGCTCAGTTTAATGCTGTAAATGTATTACGCTCCCTTGTTAAGTGCAGGATTACCTGTTGTAGAACAGGTGTACTTGGCACATCAGTTTATGTAATTGTTTGTTTTGTTTTGTTGTACCACACACAAAGACATGAGTGACTAATTTAATTGTCATCTGAATGATTGATGTCAGCAGCTTGGTTGCGATAAGAAAGCACGTGGCACTCAGGTCTGTTCTGAAACAAGTGGTGCATCATGAGAATTTAATTTTTTGAGTACTTTTTATTGTCATCATATCATTTTATGCATCTTACTAATTTCGATGTTCATGCACTGATGACATTTCTTTCCTTTTTTAAGTGAGAAATTATCTGAATCGGTGTGTCACGCAATGATACATCAAAAAAGCTCTGATGTTCAAGGATAAATATAAATAGATAACCACAATTATGCTACAGGTTTGAATTTTAAAGTATGTTATCGTAATTTTGGTGTCATGGAAAATATCTTTGAGTCCATGTCATATTCGAGGTTCTGCCTACTTTATATTTCATGGGTCATAATCAGTTTTTGCGTGATGTCATTTTAACTCTTGTTTTTTAATCGTCTCTGATGAATGCACTTATCATTTTGTCCCAGTTCTTGAAATTACTTGCCCTTAGATATGGGGGTATTGTCTAAATTAAAAACACAAAGCGGGGGAGTACCATCATTCTTATCGATTCAGATCATGCCTAATTTGTATCTCCATGCAGTTTTAGTTCAAATTTAGAATTTTTGATTGTGTATTGAACCATATCTGCATCCAGAAATATGTTACTATGCTTTCTGTGTTGTGGGCCAGTAAAAAAAGTCTTAATTAATGCACTCGTCACCTAAAAGTAAAACTCTTCTCCTCTTCTCCTGCAGAGGTGAGCCTGTTCAGCCCGTCTCAGATCTCAGAGAAGGTGCTGCTGCGAGTCCTGCGCCACCCCGACGTGATCCAGGAGATCAAGTTCAACGAAAGCGACAAGCGCTCGCCCCATCACTACGTCTACCAGAGGGGCAAGCCCGTCGACTACTTCGTTCTCATCCTGCAGGTACACAATAGTTTTAGGGAAGAGGAGGGGTGAAGCTTGGCTTTTCTGTCTGTGAGTGCTTGTTGCTTCAGTGTGGGTGAAATAGCAGGAGTTCAGCTCACACTGCTGTGTGTTCTCCCAAAGCAGATCGATTTAAAACAGACTGGTGGATTGAAACACTCTCCCACACACTCATATATACACCAACACATATGCAAACAGGACAATATCTTGTATTTTTAGCTCTCAGATGATGTAGCCTCTGTTTTTGCTGTCAGATTTAGCTGCAGTATGTTGTGTCTTTGTTTTGTTGATTTGTCTCAAGTGCGCAAATATCAACTTTTTTGGATGTTGAATGTTCCTTGTTTGAGTTTAGATCCTTCTTGACCGTTGGAATCTGATCTTCAGTTTGCCCGGTTGTCCTGAAAACAGAGATGGCGAATATGAACCTGGTCCCACAGAAATACATGAAATGACCACGCCCTGTTAACACCGCATTACATGATGGTGATGTGTTGAGATAATGTACTGACACCATGGAAACTGTGCCAATGGAAAGTCAATTAGGATCCTTCGTCATGGTAACATAAAAGTATCCGGTAGGTCTAAATCCACTGTAGTTTAGAGCAATTATAAATCTTTGTGGGATGAGTTAAAAGTCGTCTTCCATCTGTTGGCCGTTCAAATGAATCTAGTGCTGGAAAATGATTTAAATATTTTTATATATTTAGGCTGTTAATCTTATTTATGCACAGAGCATCAACAGAGAGGCTGAGGGAGGGAAGGAGACAGAGACACTTTGTCCTTGTCTTGTGTGTGAGACGTCTGTGCTGTCGCTGCATTTTTTAAAACCGATCTGTCGCCTGCATCCAGGCGACAGATCTAGACTACAACTACCAAGATGAACAGCGATGCGCTATGATCCACCTCACACACAAACTAGCAAGCAAATGCTCACGTGACACAGTCAAGAAGAAGAAGAAGAAGAATACTTTATTAATCCTTGCGGAAATTATGTTGTCACAGCAGCAGTATCCCTCAGGCAACACACACGAGACATAATGAACGCAAACAAGACAATAATGATAAAAAGTAATACAGCATAATGGACAAGTAAAAAGGAGCAGGTTAATAGGTATTGTGCATTAGCTACTGAGCATTAAAAAGTCTGATGGCCGCAGGCAGGAAGGACCTCCTGCTACGCTCAGTCCTACATTGCGGTGGTATCGGCCTGTGGCTAAAAGTGCTCTGGCTAAACACCTCCAGGTTGTGCAATGGATGAGAGGCATTTTTTAATATACACTTAAGTTTTCTGAGCATCCTCGCCTCAGCCACCTGCTGAACTGAGTCCAGCTCAGCTCCAATGGTAGAGCTTGCCTTCTTTACAAGTTTGTTGAGCTTGTTTCTGTCTCTGGCACGGGCTCCTTCTCCCCAGCTCACCGCACCAAAGAAAAGTGCACTGGCCGCCACAGTCTGAGCAGCTCTCAGCTCTGTCTCCCACACATGCAGCGCAGAACTGTACTGCACGTGCTCCTGCGGTAACTCATTCATCTCGCAGACTGATTTAGTGTAGCACATGCAACATATAGACCGATGTCACACTGTAGACTTATTAACAGACAGATTAAACAGAGGAGCAGCTAAACTGTGAGTGAGTGAGTGAGTGAGTGAGTGAGTGAGTGAGTGGGGCAGAGCTGTGCTGAGAGAGAGAGGAGAGATGCACACTAGTATGCGTTATGTAATGTACAACAATGTATGTCGATATAAACAGTGTTGTCGAAATTAATATCTTGCTGGATAATTTAAATAATTATATCGTACATAGTTATATCACCCAGCCCTTGTAGTATCAAGAGCAAGAAAGTCTGAAATGTGGACTTCTTTTCACTCGACTCACTTAAGTGCTGTCCGTACTTCCGCCATTTTACAACCTACTTATGTCCCATACGAAACAAGCATAGTTGTTTTAACTGAAAAGACAATATTTTTCTAACCCTAACCCAGTAGTTTTAATGCCTAAACTCAACTGTACAACCACCATGTAATTCCAACACAATAAATGCAACCACCATGTAATGAGGTGTTTAGGGGTTGTGGTAATTTCAGGTATTTATGTGACATCCCGCTGTCAAATAACCATTGTCACTAATCACTTTGCGGACTTCTCATCCATGTCGGTTTAGCAGCTGAGATTTATATTATAATGTTTTGTTTCTTATAAAAACAGAAGAATGGAACTTGGTATAATTTTGTAGCGACCCAGTGCACAGGAAGAAGTAAAAGTTGTAAAGAAAAGACGAATGAATAATGGCCGGTGAGCAATGTCCAGAACACAGTTACAAAAGAAACCTAACAGCAGTTTGTCAGACCCCACTGTGGTGTCATCTTGCAAAATTCAAAATAATAACCCACTAACGTGCTCTTCCCCTCCTGACGTCCACAAAGACCAGCTACATACGTCTGACAGCCTTCTGACTCACTGTGATGAACACATCGTGGCCTCTGAGTGACATATCCTCATTGCTTCAGCCTGGATAAAAGTTGTGCAGCTTCGATTATAAGACTGACTCTTCCTCTTTCTTCCCTTGACCCTTATCTCCACCTCCTCCCCCGTTTCTTCTCTCCACCTGTCAACTCATCCCCTCACCGAGTGCATCTGGAGCTTAGCAGTATTGATCCGCCTGCCTTGTAGTTAAACGCGGCTTTGAGCTACAGTTTGTAACAGATGGCAGTAGGCGTCGCACGCAGCGCTGACCCAACAGGGGTCTCGAAACTGTTGGTAAAGCAAACTGTGTTGGTGTTTGCCTTGGTTTTGTGTTTGTGTGTGTAAAGCAAAATTAAGCTGAGTCACTGAACTACACAACATCCTCCAAGAGTGCTGTTAACTGCCAATAAGAAGTTCCTACAAGGAATCAGTTATTGTGTTTTTACAGTTGATGTGATAAAGGAAAGGCTCAATAACTCCCTCAAGGCATTAAATGGCTGTGAAATAGAAATGTCATGTGATGTTTGGGTTGAGAGTACGCTGAGGGTTGCAAAGGGTCTGGAAATTTCCAGGAAATGGAAGTAAATTTCTGACATAAAAATTGGATGAATTGATAGTGAACTTATTTGGGGGAAAAATACACATGAAATCTGACATGGTGGAAGTCCAAGTGTTGATTGTTTTTCTTTTTTATTAGAATGGTATACAGTTATGTCCGCTTATAATCTGGTAAAAGTCTGTTTCTGTCTGCATATGGCGCAGGAATGTCACAGTACCAGACATTAAGTAGTCAATACCAATACTAGTGAAATTCCACGATTCTCTATACCTTGTTTGATACCAAGGTAACAAAACAATAAATCCCAGACAAGATCAAAAATTTTTAACGCTCAGAGACGTATTTTGAAGTGAATCATACACTTTTTGAATGTCTGAGAGTTCATCTGCTGCTTGTAGATCATAAGATAAGATAAGATAAGATAAGAAAACTTTATTGTCCATTACATTTACATGAAATGGAGATCTGTCTTTGGCATCCGGCATAGAAAATACAGCATGAAACATAAAGCACAATAAATAGAAGAGGAGACTGTGGTGCATATTTATGTAGAAATATATTTTCTCTTCTTTTTTTCTTAAAAATTTCTTATGCATTGTTATTTATATATTTTTACACTACGAGTAGACGCTCAGAGCTTCATCATGCAGCTTGCGTTTGTAGGACAGTGTTAAAATGTGGCATATCTGGGGCGTCGGTGGCTTAGTGGGTAAATTGAATTTCTCCTCAGGGGGATTAATAAAGTAAATAAACTTAAACTTAAAACTTAACTTAACTTAAACTTAAACTTAAACTTAACTTAACTTAAAGCAGGCGCCCCATGTACAAGGCTGTTGCCACAGCGGCCCGGGTTCGAATCCAGCCTGTGGCCCTTTGCTGCATGTCACCCCCCAAGCTGAGGTGAAGGTGTTGCTGCAGCTGCACTTGTTGCTGCCTTCCACGTCTTCTTGTTGTTCTCACATGCTGGTAGGCAGTCGTCTTCTTCCTTTGGCACGTAACGACAGACTTGAACACTTGTAGGCATTTATGCTGCCCTGTCAGATCTGGAAAAATTGCATCCCTGGTTGCTGCAGTACACAAGATAAACCAGTATTGTCACGTTGTCAGAATTTTGGCAGCAACTTGGTACCAAAGCATCGGTGAGCAAATAACCCCTATACTTCCATTTTATTCCTGTTAATCCCGTAAATTCTGATTGACAGTTTTAACCTTGAATATTCCTGCAATTTCCAACCCTAGTTGGAGTTCATGAGTGTATTTTCATGAAAAGCAATAGGTTCAGAATTTTGGAAACATCTCAAAATTCTTCTAATCAGTGTTTACATTACAGAGAGGGCTGGTGAGGAGGGCGAGGTAGAGCAGGTCATTCACTAATCAGATGATTGGCAGCTTGATCCCCGGCTCCTCCATGTCTGCATGTTGAAGTATCGTTGAGCAAGATACTGAACCCAGATTGCTCCAGATGGCTGTTCCATCGGTGTGTGAGTGTGTTAAAACTGAGTAGCAGGTGGCACCTTGTATGGTAGCCTTGGCCACCAGTGTGTGAAGGTGTGAATGTGACCCATAGTGTAAAAAGAGCTTTGTGTGGTCGGATGACTAGAAAGGCGCTATACAAGTGCAAGTCCAAAACTTTGAGTTGGGTTTCTTAAAATAGCATTCAAATCAAATTTAAGTGTCCTGTCATCTGTGGTTCTAAATGTATGTGTGGATATAAACACGTCAGTAACACATATACGATCAGTCTGGACATGTGCAAGGTGTTTTTTATGCGTTGTGACTGTGTGCTTCCTTGGAGTCGTATTGATTTGTGTGCTTATGCTTAAATTATGTGTGAATTTGGTGTCAGATAGTTCAGTGATTTTTAGGTCCAGCAGTGTTTGCTGCACAGTCCTCAAAGGACAGACATCTCCTGCCACACACCTCTGGTCAGCCACAAAAATTACAACTCTGAGTACGATAGGAACTGTAGAAAAAGGCCCAAATTCCTCTCCAGGTAGTGAGTTACATTTTTATAAATCTCTTTACGAGGTTTACTTCAGGGCGGCAATACTCTCTCTTTGTCTCTTCCCTCATAAATCTGTCCTGATTTTTCACAAGCTGGATAAAAGCCAGCCGTTACAGCAGCCATTGTACAATAAGATAAGAGACATAATTTGTGTTTGTAGTTTGACAAAATTTCAGGTTGTCAAGCTCACATCAGTTACGCCAAAGATAGCACACAGCATGAATTGAATTCCCACTAATCTGCAATCTGCAGTGGTTGCATATATTGTGTTGCAGCTGAGTCTGTGAGTTGTTTTAACAACAGTCACTTCTGATCCAAAGTCGATCAACTCTACAAGGAGATTAGCTGGCTACTTTAAGGGTTTTAAGAGCCAGATTTGGTGGAGTGCCAAGCTGGAGGTGGTTAGAGTCACAACAGCTCAAAATGTTTGTAGTTCGGTCCTGTATGGAGCATGTCAGAAGACTGATTTTGGGTAAATTACAGCATGTTCTCGCCCACATAGTCTTCGTAAAGCAGTCCTGCGTGATATCTGATTCAGCAAATATTAACTTGACCTTTATTTGAACTTAATGTCTCTTAAAGATTTACAAGCCATCAAGTGAGTGATTAACAATGAAGCCACAGAAAACTGCACACAGAGAATTACACAAGGAAAGAAGCCGTTAGATTGTGGGTGTGTGAGAAGTTAATGTGGGAATCAATTTGGGGAGTTTGTTCCTGACCTCTAAGAAAGCCTCAAACTGCTGCTGTTGTTTTGAGTTTATTGGTGGTCTGTAATGAAGAAAATGGGGCAGTAGGAAAAATCTTGTAAACACTGTGAAAGAGTCTATAAAAACTACACTACTACTAAACCACAGTGAAAATCTGATCAGCTCTCTCTTTATTCCTCCAGTGTTCATTCATACCAGCTGCATGGGTGATTATTCAGCACGCTATAGTTACAGGATGTGAGTAAATAGGAAGTCCTGCGTTAACGTCCTGTCATTCAGTGCTTTTACACTGTCGGACAGTATAACCTGTTCAGCAGAATTCACTCTCTAATAGCATTGAATGATGACACAGATGGGGAATAAATGGATGAATTCACTATGAGAGAGAAGGGTTGCAAAAGGTTGGAAAATTCTGGTAAATTTCCAAAGAAGTTGAGCTCAGGAATTTTGTAATTTTGGCTCCATTTCAATGTATTTATTGTACCTTTTCTTAGCGAGCTCATTTTAAGGGAAGATATACATAAAATAGCAATACTAGGTCAAACATAATGATTTTAATGCTGCAATATCTAGTCACCAAAACGTTGCAGCGTTAAGATAATTATTTTTGCAAGTTAGACAGTGTGCGGGACTCTTTCTACAAGTTTTATTAGTTTANGTAGCCCTGCACTAGCATGATCGACTTTTCCGTGTTTATCAGACTGAATATTTACTGAAGAAGGGAAAGATATCTGTCAGCTGTGATTGGTTTGTAACCTGACTCCTGTCTGACTGCTGAGCGTGGCCTCTTGCTGTGTCTGTCCTTTCACTGGACATGGTCCAGTCATACAGGTTTTGCCACCAGTGAAAAGTTACCAATGAAATCTTGCCGACTAATGACCTTTCTGGTCGACTATTAGGGGGCAGCCCTAGTCATGAGTACATAAAATATAAAAAGATTTCAGTTTCATCATAGATATATTAAAGTGTTTGATTATAGGGTTGCTTGGCCCCACAAAATTATACAATATATGGAGGAATCAGCATGGAACTTATGCAGAATGTAAAAAAATGTATTGTATAAAATGCAGTGTAATGAAAATAAATATACATGCCAACAACTTTAACATTTCTTCCTTTTCAAATCAAAGTATTTTTAAGATTGTTGTATAAATACAGTAACTAGAGCCTTCAGTATATCCATGATGACATTAAAATGTTCTTTAATTTTATGTACCCCTGACAGCAGAATAAATCACTTTACTCAAAGTATTCAATACAGCATCTCTCTATCAGTTTAATAAAAAGAGAGGCAAAGATTTCTAAATTACCTGGTATACTGTAATACCGCCCAGGCCGAAAGTTAATCATCTGCTCATTGAATTGCTTAAAATCTATATGCTGTCATATTGTCATCGTGTTTTTATTGAGGCATTACTTGCACATCACATCGAGCTCACGAATGAATGTCTTTCTTCTGCTTTAGGAAAATCCCACCTGGCCATCGTCCAGAAGGTGAACAACGAGGGGGAGGGAGATCCCTTCTACGAGGTGTTGGGGTTGGTCACCCTTGAAGACGTCATCGAGGAGATCATTAAATCAGAGATTCTGGATGAATCGGATCTTTACAGTGAGTTTATCGCGTCTTATTGTCACACTTGTTTTTATTGTATGTGCAGATGAGGCTATTTTGATCTCAGTTTAAGTCATGCAATAATTTATTACAGTTTTCATATCTGAATTATTGTTGTTTGTCTTTGAGATAAGCGTAAACAGACTATTTTTTAGGTATTTAGACGATTAAACACTAATTAACAGAACAGCTAAGAAAATCCTGAACAGCTTGGTCTCACTCTGCTTTTGATCCTAAATAAATGTATCTGCTGTTTGTCACTTCTCAGCTGATAACCGCACCAGGAAAAAGGTGGCGCCCAATAAGAACAAGAGAGACTTCTCTGCCTTCAAACACGAGAGCGAATCAAAAGTGAAGGTCTCTCCTCAGCTGCTGCTGGCCGCCCATCGCTTCCTGGCTACAGGTGGGGGATGGACTGCTGCAAGCAGGCACACACACACAGGCGTGCACACTCACTCAACACAGTGTTACAGCCAGTAGATTATTTATAACTTGTAAACTAAGTGTGCAGTTTAACATAGGTGTTCAAAATGTAGCCACAACATGAATATCCTCAGGATGTCAGGACGGGATGGACTCTGTCTTCTCGCCATCTGACAACCAGAGCAAGTCCATACATGCAGGGAGGAGGTTTAAATGTGTTTATTTACTCGGAAGGTCTATTTAAGATCCGCACAGTACGCCTGCCTGAGTACTCTGGACCTCTGCCAGCTGGTGTGATGCCTCGCCATTGCTACAAATCACTTGAGAACGTGTCGCAATCTGTCTGCTTAGCAAACGTTAGTGGATATGCTCTGCCAGCAGCAGTTAGCACTAGCCACTGCTAGCATGACGTAGCACTTCCTCATCTCTCACAGACACTGTGGTGGAGGAGCACGCCAGAGTCTAATACCTCTGCAGGCATAACGTCAGTGTCTGTTGACTGTGTTTCTGTTTTCTTTTTCAGCGTGAAGGTTTCAATTTTCTTTCCTGATTCAGTACACAGGGATGGGATCTTTAATTTCTCGTATTTCAGTCCAGGAAGTTTCTTTTCCTTTTTCTGTTGTTGTTCGCATCAATCATTATTATACCCTGCTCTTTTTAGATTGTGCCTGATCTCTGTTGCCATTGATATCTAATACAAGATGAGAGATATATTCCACACAGGTAAAGTCAGTGACTTAAAAGGACTTGTGTGTTTTGCAGCAGCAAGCTCTGTCAGTCTGTATATGTTTTTTGGCGCTATAAAAAAAAAGCAGGAAACAAACCAGGAAGATATAAAACCCACAGGCCATGAAAGTGACATAAAAGTCATTGAAAAGTCTATTCAACCTGAGTCAGAAACTTCAATCCTTCTTCTTCTTCTGTTTTTTTGAGTGAAACGAGTGAACTTGTTGACTTAATACGTAAGCCAGAATGAAAGGAGTTTGTTTGCTTTTTCACATGATGAATTCCAACCTTGGTCATATACGCCTCACCTCTCACTGTGTGTCGCATAGGGTTTTGTTTGCAGGGTGGACTGTTTCTTTGTTCTCAGTTTGGGTGGGGTCGAAGGCACTTATGGTGGAGCTGTGATTGCAACAGCCCGGCCTGTGACAGTTGAGAAATTCATGTTAACCAAATACATGTCACCAGATATTTTTAAAACAAGGAAAATTCTCATTAATCAACATCACTGTACATGTGCTTGTGTTAGCTAGAAGACTAGTGTCACCACTTGGACTGCAGAAAGATGATGTATCCAAAACTCAGTCTTAAATTATCTTAAAAAGGTCTTTAAAGGCATTAAATTTAAGGGTAAACATGTACACTGTAAACTGTGGAACAGTGTCTGAAGACTGATTTACATTACGGCTTTATTTTAATTACTGATCATCATCTATGAATCGTTTTGTCTTACATGCAAAGACTGAATGTATTGGAAGCTCTAATTTGTTTTATTAATATATATAACGTCCTTCTGTGTCGTGTAAACAATGAGATGCTTAATGTAGTTTTTGACTTGATTACATGACACGTGATCCTTGTAATTCTTTTAATTCTATTTGTGAAAGCTCAGTTTAATGCTGTAAATGTATTACGCTCCCTTGTTAAGTGCAGGATTACCTGTTGTAGAACAGGTGTACTTGGCACATCAGTTTATGTAATTGTTTGTTTTGTTTTGTTGTACCACACACAAAGACATGAGTGACTAATTTAATTGTCATCTGAATGATTGATGTCAGCAGCTTGGTTGCGATAAGAAAGCACGTGGCACTCAGGTCTGTTCTGAAACAAGTGGTGCATCATGAGAATTTAATTTTTTGAGTACTTTTTATTGTCATCATATCATTTTATGCATCTTACTAATTTCGATGTTCATGCACTGATGACATTTCTTTCCTTTTTTAAGTGAGAAATTATCTGAATCGGTGTGTCACGCAATGATACATCAAAAAAGCTCTGATGTTCAAGGATAAATATAAATAGATAACCACAATTATGCTACAGGTTTGAATTTTAAAGTATGTTATCGTAATTTTGGTGTCATGGAAAATATCTTTGAGTCCATGTCATATTCGAGGTTCTGCCTACTTTATATTTCATGGGTCATAATCAGTTTTTGCGTGATGTCATTTTAACTCTTGTTTTTTAATCGTCTCTGATGAATGCACTTATCATTTTGTCCCAGTTCTTGAAATTACTTGCCCTTAGATATGGGGGTATTGTCTAAATTAAAAACACAAAGCGGGGGAGTACCATCATTCTTATCGATTCAGATCATGCCTAATTTGTATCTCCATGCAGTTTTAGTTCAAATTTAGAATTTTTGATTGTGTGTTGAACCATATCTGCATCCAGAAATATGTTACTATGCTTTCTGTGTTGTGGGCCAGTAAAAAAAGTCTTAATTAATGCACTCGTCACCTAAAAGTAAAACTCTTCTCCTCTTCTCCTGCAGAGGTGAGCCTGTTCAGCCCGTCTCAGATCTCAGAGAAGGTGCTGCTGCGAGTCCTGCGCCACCCCGACGTGATCCAGGAGATCAAGTTCAACGAAAGCGACAAGCGCTCGCCCCATCACTACGTCTACCAGAGGGGCAAGCCCGTCGACTACTTCGTTCTCATCCTGCAGGTACACAATAGTTTTAGGGAAGAGGAGGGGTGAAGCTTGGCTTTTCTGTCTGTGAGTGCTTGTTGCTTCAGTGTGGGTGAAATAGCAGGAGTTCAGCTCACACTGCTGTGTGTTCTCCCAAAGCAGATCGATTTAAAACAGACTGGTGGATTGAAACACTCTCCCACACACTCATATATACACCAACACATATGCAAACAGGACAATATCTTGTATTTTTAGCTCTCAGATGATGTAGCCTCTGTTTTTGCTGTCAGATTTAGCTGCAGTATGTTGTGTCTTTGTTTTGTTGATTTGTCTCAAGTGCGCAAATATCAACTTTTTTGGATGTTGAATGTTCCTTGTTTGAGTTTAGATCCTTCTTGACCGTTGGAATCTGATCTTCAGTTTGCCCGGTTGTCCTGAAAACAGAGATGGCGAATATGAACCTGGTCCCACAGAAATACATGAAATGACCACGCCCTGTTAACACCGCATTACATGATGGTGATGTGTTGAGATAATGTACTGACACCATGGAAACTGTGCCAATGGAAAGTCAATTAGGATCCTTCGTCATGGTAACATAAAAGTATCCGGTAGGTCTAAATCCACTGTAGTTTAGAGCAATTATAAATCTTTGTGGGATGAGTTAAAAGTCGTCTTCCATCTGTTGGCCGTTCAAATGAATCTAGTGCTGGAAAATGATTTAAATATTTTTATATATTTAGGCTGTTAATCTTATTTATGCACAGAGCATCAACAGAGAGGCTGAGGGAGGGAAGGAGACAGAGACACTTTGTCCTTGTCTTGTGTGTGAGACGTCTGTGCTGTCGCTGCATTTTTTAAAACCGATCTGTCGCCTGCATCCAGGCGACAGATCTAGACTACAACTACCAAGATGAACAGCGATGCGCTATGATCCACCTCACACACAAACTAGCAAGCAAATGCTCACGTGACACAGTCAAGAAGAAGAAGAAGAAGAATACTTTATTAATCCTTGCGGAAATTATGTTGTCACAGCAGCAGTATCCCTCAGGCAACACACACGAGACATAATGAACGCAAACAAGACAATAATGATAAAAAGTAATACAGCATAATGGACAAGTAAAAAGGAGCAGGTTAATAGGTATTGTGCATTAGCTACTGAGCATTAAAAAGTCTGATGGCCGCAGGCAGGAAGGACCTCCTGCTACGCTCAGTCCTACATTGCGGTGGTATCGGCCTGTGGCTAAAAGTGCTCTGGCTAAACACCTCCAGGTTGTGCAATGGATGAGAGGCATTTTTTAATATACACTTAAGTTTTCTGAGCATCCTCGCCTCAGCCACCTGCTGAACTGAGTCCAGCTCAGCTCCAATGGTAGAGCTTGCCTTCTTTACAAGTTTGTTGAGCTTGTTTCTGTCTCTGGCACGGGCTCCTTCTCCCCAGCTCACCGCACCAAAGAAAAGTGCACTGGCCGCCACAGTCTGAGCAGCTCTCAGCTCTGTCTCCCACACATGCAGCGCAGAACTGTACTGCACGTGCTCCTGCGGTAACTCATTCATCTCGCAGACTGATTTAGTGTAGCACATGCAACATATAGACCGATGTCACACTGTAGACTTATTAACAGACAGATTAAACAGAGGAGCAGCTAAACTGTGAGTGAGTGAGTGAGTGAGTGAGTGAGTGAGTGAGTGGGGCAGAGCTGTGCTGAGAGAGAGAGGAGAGATGCACACTAGTATGCGTTATGTAATGTACAACAATGTATGTCGATATAAACAGTGTTGTCGAAATTAATATCTTGCTGGATAATTTAAATAATTATATCGTACATAGTTATATCACCCAGCCCTTGTAGTATCAAGAGCAAGAAAGTCTGAAATGTGGACTTCTTTTCACTCGACTCACTTAAGTGCTGTCCGTACTTCCGCCATTTTACAACCTACTTATGTCCCATACGAAACAAGCATAGTTGTTTTAACTGAAAAGACAATATTTTTCTAACCCTAACCCAGTAGTTTTAATGCCTAAACTCAACTGTACAACCACCATGTAATTCCAACACAATAAATGCAACCACCATGTAATGAGGTGTTTAGGGGTTGTGGTAATTTCAGGTATTTATGTGACATCCCGCTGTCAAATAACCATTGTCACTAATCACTTTGCGGACTTCTCATCCATGTCGGTTTAGCAGCTGAGATTTATATTATAATGTTTTGTTTCTTATAAAAACAGAAGAATGGAACTTGGTATAATTTTGTAGCGACCCAGTGCACAGGAAGAAGTAAAAGTTGTAAAGAAAAGACGAATGAATAATGGCCGGTGAGCAATGTCCAGAACACAGTTACAAAAGAAACCTAACAGCAGTTTGTCAGACCCCACTGTGGTGTCATCTTGCAAAATTCAAAATAATAACCCACTAACGTGCTCTTCCCCTCCTGACGTCCACAAAGACCAGCTACATACGTCTGACAGCCTTCTGACTCACTGTGATGAACACATCGTGGCCTCTGAGTGACATATCCTCATTGCTTCAGCCTGGATAAAAGTTGTGCAGCTTCGATTATAAGACTGACTCTTCCTCTTTCTTCCCTTGACCCTTATCTCCACCTCCTCCCCCGTTTCTTCTCTCCACCTGTCAACTCATCCCCTCACCGAGTGCATCTGGAGCTTAGCAGTATTGATCCGCCTGCCTTGTAGTTAAACGCGGCTTTGAGCTACAGTTTGTAACAGATGGCAGTAGGCGTCGCACGCAGCGCTGACCCAACAGGGGTCTCGAAACTGTTGGTAAAGCAAACTGTGTTGGTGTTTGCCTTGGTTTTGTGTTTGTGTGTGTAAAGCAAAATTAAGCTGAGTCACTGAACTACACAACATCCTCCAAGAGTGCTGTTAACTGCCAATAAGAAGTTCCTACAAGGAATCAGTTATTGTGTTTTTACAGTTGATGTGATAAAGGAAAGGCTCAATAACTCCCTCAAGGCATTAAATGGCTGTGAAATAGAAATGTCATGTGATGTTTGGGTTGAGAGTACGCTGAGGGTTGCAAAGGGTCTGGAAATTTCCAGGAAATGGAAGTAAATTTCTGACATAAAAATTGGATGAATTGATAGTGAACTTATTTGGGGGAAAAATACACATGAAATCTGACATGGTGGAAGTCCAAGTGTTGATTGTTTTTCTTTTTTATTAGAATGGTATACAGTTATGTCCGCTTATAATCTGGTAAAAGTCTGTTTCTGTCTGCATATGGCGCAGGAATGTCACAGTACCAGACATTAAGTAGTCAATACCAATACTAGTGAAATTCCACGATTCTCTATACCTTGTTAGATACCAAGGTAACAAAACAATAAATCCCAGACAAGATCAAAAATTTTTAACGCTCAGAGACGTATTTTGAAGTGAATCATACACTTTTTGAATGTCTGAGAGTTCATCTGCTGCTTGTAGATCATAAGATAAGATAAGATAAGATAAGAAAACTTTATTGTCCATTACATTTACATGAAATGGAGATCTGTCTTTGGCATCCGGCATAGAAAATACAGCATGAAACATAAAGCACAATAAATAGAAGAGGAGACTGTGGTGCATATTTATGTAGAAATATATTTTCTCTTCTTTTTTTCTTAAAAATTTCTTATGCATTGTTATTTATATATTTTTACACTACGAGTAGACGCTCAGAGCTTCATCATGCAGCTTGCGTTTGTAGGACAGTGTTAAAATGTGGCATATCTGGGGCGTCGGTGGCTTAGTGGGTAAATTGAATTTCTCCTCAGGGGGATTAATAAAGTAAATAAACTTAAACTTAAAACTTAACTTAACTTAAACTTAAACTTAAACTTAACTTAACTTAAAGCAGGCGCCCCATGTACAAGGCTGTTGCCACAGCGGCCCGGGTTCGAATCCAGCCTGTGGCCCTTTGCTGCATGTCACCCCCCAAGCTGAGGTGAAGGTGTTGCTGCAGCTGCACTTGTTGCTGCCTTCCACGTCTTCTTGTTGTTCTCACATGCTGGTAGGCAGTCGTCTTCTTCCTTTGGCACGTAACGACAGACTTGAACACTTGTAGGCATTTATGCTGCCCTGTCAGATCTGGAAAAATTGCATCCCTGGTTGCTGCAGTACACAAGATAAACCAGTATTGTCACGTTGTCAGAATTTTGGCAGCAACTTGGTACCAAAGCATCGGTGAGCAAATAACCCCTATACTTCCATTTTATTCCTGTTAATCCCGTAAATTCTGATTGACAGTTTTAACCTTGAATATTCCTGCAATTTCCAACCCTAGTTGGAGTTCATGAGTGTATTTTCATGAAAAGCAATAGGTTCAGAATTTTGGAAACATCTCAAAATTCTTCTAATCAGTGTTTACATTACAGAGAGGGCTGGTGAGGAGGGCGAGGTAGAGCAGGTCATTCACTAATCAGATGATTGGCAGCTTGATCCCCGGCTCCTCCATGTCTGCATGTTGAAGTATCGTTGAGCAAGATACTGAACCCAGATTGCTCCAGATGGCTGTTCCATCGGTGTGTGAGTGTGTTAAAACTGAGTAGCAGGTGGCACCTTGTATGGTAGCCTTGGCCACCAGTGTGTGAAGGTGTGAATGTGACCCATAGTGTAAAAAGAGCTTTGTGTGGTCGGATGACTAGAAAGGCGCTATACAAGTGCAAGTCCAAAACTTTGAGTTGGGTTTCTTAAAATAGCATTCAAATCAAATTTAAGTGTCCTGTCATCTGTGGTTCTAAATGTATGTGTGGATATAAACACGTCAGTAACACATATACGATCAGTCTGGACATGTGCAAGGTGTTTTTTATGCGTTGTGACTGTGTGCTTCCTTGGAGTCGTATTGATTTGTGTGCTTATGCTTAAATTATGTGTGAATTTGGTGTCAGATAGTTCAGTGATTTTTAGGTCCAGCAGTGTTTGCTGCACAGTCCTCAAAGGACAGACATCTCCTGCCACAAACCTCTGGTCAGCCACAAAAATTACAACTCTGAGTACGATAGGAACTGTAGAAAAAGGC